AGCTTCATATCGCCTCCTCTTGCGGCTATGTCGATGTGGCCAGCTTCCTGCTGCAGCATGGGGCCAGCCACGACCTTTCGGATCGTGATGGTTGGCGTGCCATTCATGTCGCCGCTTGTTGGGGACAGGTAGGTCATCTCCAACTGCTTCAGGCCTCTTGCTTTTGAGGCTGTTGGCATCTGCTCATCAGCCCAGTTGTAGTGCACGCTTTGTTAGGAAAGGTTTTAAGAAGGATGACTACTTTGCTGAGCTGTAGCCCTCGCCTCTTCCACCAACAAGGATGTGAGTTCAAGTGTTCTACACTGGCACAAACTGGAATGAGCTCGGACGGAAGTTAAAAGTAACTTTACCAAGTAGTATGTGATTATGCTTCGAAAGTGCCAGTGATTTTTGAGATTGTTGAATCGGATGGAAATCGTGAAAACAGGGTTTTATCACAAATGTGCCATTGAATTGTATCAAGTCTTGCATTCCAGTTGCGTATTCCAATGACATCGTGTGGCACACTCATAGCATTGTGGGAAAACACACCAACAAGGATGTGAGTTCAAGTGTTCTACACTGCCACAAACTGGCATGGGTTCGGACAGAAGTGAAAGTAACTTTACCAAGTAGTATGTGATTATGCTTCGAAAGTGCCAGTGATTTTTGAAATTATCGTATCAAATGAAAATCGTGAAATCAGGGTTTTATCACAAATGTGCCATGGAATTGTATCAAGTCTTGCATTCCAGTTGCATATTCCAATGACATCGTGTGGCACACTCATAGCATTGTGGGAACACACTCCACCACCAGTTCGTAAATCATCTCAGGCCACATAGACTGACTAAATTCTTATTCACAAAGTACAGATATTTTTTAGCAATATTTATCTCGAACAGCTGTGATATTGTCGTTTGTGTTATGGCATACATATTTTTGCATCATCGACGATCTTACTGAAAATGCGGCTTGGGGGTGGTTTTATTTGTTTTGAAACCGGCTATGCACGTGTGTATACGACGAACTTGTGATGCGCACCACTCGGTTTCAAATCCCTTTACGGGTGCCTTGATGAGAAAACACTTTAAGAGGCTAGACCAAGTGAATTTCATATTTATACAAATTCCGTTTTTAAGCTATCAACAAATCTTGTTTAATAGTTGAGTTCATCTCCATTTCATGTGAAAGCATTT